GGGAAACCGGAGGCAGGTTGTCACGCCGCTCATAGTGATGGAGACCAGGTGGTTGAGGTCCCCATAGGTAGGGGTTGTGAGTTTCAGCGTGCGGAAGCAAATGTCATACAAGGCTTCGTTATCAATACAGTAGGTTTCATCCGTATTCTCCACCAACTGGTGGACAGAAAGGGTGGCGTTGTAGGGTTCAACCACTGTGTCTGACACCTTCGGAGATGGCATTACACTGAAGGTGTTCATGATACGATCTGGGTACTCCTCCCTAATTTTGCTGATGAGGAGGGTTCCCATCCCAGACCCTGTGCCACCACCTAGAGAATGGGTCAGCTGGAAACCCTGTAGACAGTCACAGCTTTCCGATTCCTTCCTTACCACATCCAGGACAGAGTCCACTAGCTCAGCTCCCTCTGTATAGTGGCCTTTTGCCCAGTTGTTTCCAGCACCACTTTGACCTGGAAGGTGGAGTGGAAAGATGCTGATTTAGTCACCAGAATATGAAGGAGCAACTCTGTTTAGGATATGGTGTACAAGACTCAGTGGTTTGAGCATTGGCCTTCTAAACCCAGGGTTGAGAGTTCAATCCTTGAGGGGGCCATTTAGGGATCTGGGGCAAAAATCTGTCTGGGGATTGGTCCTGCTTTGTGCAGGGGGTTGGACTAGATGACCCCCTGAGGTCCCTTCCCACCCTGATATTCTAAGATTCTATGAACACTATTAAACCCTAATTTATGGACAAAGGGGAATAGTTTTACCGAGCTATATCGATTTACTACAATTAACTAGTGTTTATACTGTGATTCCATTTGTGTTTGGACTTTAAGTCCGCAAGTTAAGAGCTAAATTATTCCATTTAAGTTTCATGCAAGCAACCCAAAAACATGGAGGGCACACTGAATGTATGCAGTAAGAAACATTAATGTAAGCAGTTCTACAGGGATGTTTCAAATTCATTGTCTCAACACAGGAGCCAAAGGCTACAGTAGCTGCAGCTATACCTAATGTTACATACCAAAGACAAAGTTGTCAGGTCTGAAGATTTGGCCAAATGGTCCAGATCTGACAGAGTCCATTGTACCAGGCTCCAAATCGACAAGGATTGCACGGGGTACATACTTATTACCTGCAAAAGGAACAAAAACCAGTATAACAGACTTGCAGTCAACAGGCTGCTTTGCTCTGAGCCGCCGCAACACAGCTCACTGGAAAGACTGCTGCAGTGACAGAAGGGAAGGAGTATTAAGTAGAGCCATCTTGGAAAGACTCAGAGTCCTCTAACAAAGGGTCAGTGGCCAATAGCAAATTCCTTTACAGTAGCTGTCCCAAATATAATTAACTGTATATCTATACACCTGACTTTTGGTTTACTTAGCGAAATTATAACCATCTGAAGAAATAAGTGGTGTATAATTACCTGCAGCTTCATTGTAGTAAACATTGATCCTTTCTAGCTGCAAAGGACTGTCGCCATGGTAGCTGCCAGTGGGGTCAATGCCATGCTCATCACTGATGACCTCCCAGAACTGAAATAGGGTTTTGAAAAGCGCACTTAATAATTGCATTAGGCTGCCAGGAGCAATCCGACATGCCTGTTGTAGTTCCATGGACCTAGCCCCTGCCGAGGGCCCTAACCAATAACTGCATCTTGATGAGACAAACACCAACAAGGCATTTACCCCCTGTCCCTGAAGCAGTTGAGAACTGGTCGAGTTACAATTATGATGATTAAGTGAGAAGGAATAGAAGAGAAACTGCAACATCAGACAGCAAACACATGGCTAGATACATTAACCTAATTGTAACACTTCCAGAACTGCTACCATAGGCTTAAAGAATTACAGTATCTCTAACCAGTTGTAGTCTTCTAAGTGATTTAGGTTGCTAGACTCTATAAAGGAAATTTCCCCCATTGGGAATCTAGTTAGACACTACAGGAAAGAGCCTACATAGATGTGACACCCTTGAAGCATCTCTGACGCTGCTCAAAGCACGGTTACCTCCCCGTGTAAAGGGGCGAGGCATCTGGCCTGCAGGGAGTTGTCTGCTGCATCAGCGAGGAAATGAGCGCCATTGTGAATTCAGAGCACGGCAGCCAGGCTGTCGTAATACGCTTCCCCCCCGCCCGGCCAAGACAATGCCCAGTCTCCCCTTTAGGGCCATTATCTTGCATGGAATGGAGGTGGCGTCTCAACGGGGAACTGAAACAAGTGCTTTGATGCGCTGATTCAAAGGGGCCAGCTGAAAATTATTTTAGGTAAATATGTAATTGTTCCCAAACCTCCAGCAGCACCCCCACTTAGTGACCTCGCCTTTACACCGCAGCAGCATCTGTCCAGCCCCCGCGTGCTGGTGCTGCCCGCTGCCCCCTCCCAGCCACAGGGTGAGGGACACAACACGCGGAGGCCCGGCCCCGCCCCGCCCCGCCCGGGTCCCGCTCTTTACCTTGGCTCCGATCTGGTTCCCGCACTGGCCAGCCTGGATGTGCACGATCTCACGCATGGCGCCCGAGTCACACGGCAACAAACACCCTCTGCCTCCGGCTGGTTGCTGCTCCCTGGCTCCTTCTAGCACTTGCAGCAATAAGCTCTGGGCCGCGCGGCTCCCAGCTCCTCCTTTTATAGAGGGGGCTGCTAGCCCCGCCCCTCGCGCCACGGAGCACCGCCCCCTCCAGTCACAATCCCGCTCCCCGCAGCCCTTCTCAAGCGGGTGATGTAATGTCGGGGCGGGGCCTAGCAGTGCGCGCGGGGGCGGGGGTGCTGCTGCTGCTGCTGCATTGTCTCCTGCGCAAGGGGACTAGGCGGGAGCCATCGCGGGGGGGGCAGGGTGGGGAGCTGCAGTCTCAGCAGCAGGGAGGGGGCTTGTCACAGCCTGAGGGCAGCGAGCATCTC